CAACAAATAGCGGTGTAACCGTGCGCGCATACGCGTCGACAATTTCTTGTCCAAGTTTCCAGACTTCTACTTCCGAGAGCCTGTATCAGCGCTACACACATATCATCACTGACGACGTCACGGTCGTGACATGAGCAAGCTCACAATCCAATATGAGTGACAAAACAATAGCCAGAGCCTTCTGCATTCGTGGCATATACTTCACCTCGAAGTTATACTCTACGAAGAAGGAAAGCCACCTGGCCATCCTCCTCGAACGGTGAGGCGACTGAGTCGCAGTGTGTAGTGACGCATGATCTGTGTAGATCACAAACGGCTTTGAGCCAAGCAGGTGCACTCTGAAGTTGACAAGTGTATTCTTCTCGCAATCTAATTCTTTGTCGTGGACTGGGCAGTTCTTTTCCGCAGCCTTAAGCTGGCGAGATTCGATCGCGAAAACGCGATCATCCGATCTCGCCCCTCGGCATCTTCTTGAAGCAGTGCAGAGGCGATGGTAAAGTCCGCAGCGTCACAGACGACACTAACGGGTCTGGTAACGCCAGTAGTGGTGCATGAAGGAGGCTGTCTTTGACCCAGTCAGAGCCTCCCGATGATCGGTGTCCCAGCACCATTTCGTATACTTCTTAAGGATATTCGACAATGGCCGTGCCATTTCCGCATAATTCGCGCTATACTTGTGCAAGTGTTGGGGAAGGCCAAGCCACTTGCGCAAGTACATTCGGTTCTTCGGCACTGTATAGTTCCCAATGGCCTTGACCTTAGCGGGATCCGCTCGAAGGCCACGCTTCCCGATGAAGCACCCTAAAAAGAATATACACTTATCTGCATTAATATCCAGCATATTCCTGCACATGCGCTCGAACACCCCTTTTACCATTCCTGCGTCGTGCTCCGCACGGAAAAAGACATCAATGACGTCACACTGCTCCTCGGGCAGGGGCCATTGGCGTGTTACGCGATATTTGGTTCCCGGAACCAAGTCGATCTCATGACGCACACCACGGTCTGGAGGTAGAACCGACGGCGGGTCTTTGGCGATGACGTCTTTACATTTTCTTATCAAAGGAATGCACGGATCCGAGGATTTCTTCAGGATTGACGATCCACTTTGTGCGTTCAGCACCCTCTTGGTGTCCTCCAGGACAGCTCCATCCAAACGCGACGGCGAATTTATCTCCTCGTGATGTCGTATAATAATCACCTCGTCTGAATTGCCTTCCCTCAAGGCACCGCCAAACTCTTCGAAGGACATCTCAACCAGCAAGAAGAGCATCACCGAGGGAATCGCCTCGAGGGTGACGTCGCCGTCTCCTCCCCATGTCATACCATTGACAAGGGTATATAGCTGTGCGCTACGTCTACGGTAGATACACCCTAGGTCGGGGTCGACGCCCTGCGAGTTGCAAATAATATAGGAGCTCGCCGTCTCGAGGTTTTACGTCTCGTTGAGACCGGTATGAACACGCACTCGGCGTCGTCTAGTGTCTCCGCTTCCTGCTTCAGCGGAGCCTTGATGTTATTAACAAATCCAACGAAGAGCGGCTATTTCCGCAGTCTTCGTCCAGTGAATGACGTGTCATTCCACTCACATCTCTAGGGCCTGGCCCCCGAAGCCTCGGACCTCGTCCGACCATGCCTACCTTGGCATGCAGCAACTGCTTTGAACGTGAGCAATGCTCAATGAGTTACGTGCCACTACACGTGCATCACCGGGGCCTTGCTCTCGATGCCTCGGACCTCGTCCAACCATCCCACTCATGGCATGCAGCAACTGCTTTGATACTTGCGCAGTGCTCAGTGGGTTACGTGCCACTCCACCTTCAGCCCGCGAGCTCTGCTCAGGTCTCTTGTCCGATACACCTTCGGTTTTCGACAAATCGGATACTCCGATACCCAGCACAATGACTGACCCGGTCCAGTGCCCGCGCCATGAGCGATTCTTTTTCCTAGGGTTGGTTGATTCATTCTCACCGAAACTTCACCGGGAAACGTGCGCGTAACGCCCGAGGTCTTTGACCTCCAATCGATCCATGGTTCATGGTGTTCCAGCCAGGCGATACCAAGGGATAAGATCATACCTTTAATCCAAGTCTAAGACTAAGCAGTGTTCCACGCTAACGAAGTCAAGAAATTTGACACCGAGCCTCACAGGGACCCTCGTCACAATGATACAAGTGCCCGTCGATACGCGTACAGTGACGGCGTCACTCAACCGCGCTTTCAGCGCCTCAGCATATAGCTGACTTCCATCGAGCGTGGAGAGTCGAGCATAATAACCCGACGCCCTGAAATCGATAAGTATCTTTCACGGCTTCTCAAAGGCCTTCATGGTCACTTTACGACCAGCCAGCCCGGCTTGCACGCATTTCATGTTCAAGAGCACGGAGCTTCTCTGGGCTGGGCCCTGCTTCCCTCTGCCTCTTTGAGGCACAACAGAACTCAGTTCTTCTCCATTAGGGCGCCGCCCCGCGCCTGCTGGGTTATCTCGCTTCTCCACGACGAACCAGACTGGTGAGACGCGGGACGCAGGTTTGTAAACCTTGACGCGCCTTGCGCAGGGGACAACCAGTCCGAAGGTGACGTGTCTCCATAGACAAATCACCGTCGGGTGTTTTAAATCTGTTCGACAGCTCGGAGCTCTCCTCCACTTTCTCAGCATAGCTGGGAGCCATTTGCTCAAGCCCGCTCGACGAGCTCTGAGGGTGTGCATTCCAACCAAGTCGTGCCGACTTACTCGGTATTTATTGCCATATTCACCTCTTTTGTTTAAGAAGACGGATGCACATGGAAGACTTCCATTCTGGCTACTCCAAGGCGGAGACCTTCCAAAAAGGCGGTCACTTTAACCGCTTCCGGGAGAGGATCGGCTGCTATCTCGGCAATGATAGCTTGCAGCTCTTCGACAAAGTCCACCTACTCCTTCTTGCCCTGTCAGGCGGCAAGACAACGCGATCGCACGCGATATGCTAGGTTATGCGGCGAGAACACCCGCAAATGCTGACGCTTCAACCGAAGCACCATACATCAGTGACCACTCTCGCGCACGGCCATCGAGCTTGGAGATAGCTAGCGCCACGCGCTGCTGCTTGTTTTAGAACATGGTGGATGTCATAGCCATCTCGGCGTCTCTTACCCAGAGCAGAAGATTTTCTCCATCGCTTACCCTCGAAGGTCTAAACACTCACCACGAGCGGCCTGGGTCGACAGGATTCATCCGTCGTCGACGGTGGCGCCGCTGACGCAGTCGGCGCCAACATCTCTTCTCTTTTTCTTTTCAAGGTACTCTAGTTGAGCATTTCATAGGTCGAAAACGCCTCAGACACGCGCTTATCGCCACAGGTCCTTGCGGAGCGAGGTGCTACACGCCCTCAGGGCCCAGCAGGGACTACAGCTTGTTATGTCCGTTTTGCATTCCTTGGGGCAAATAGGAGAATTGCCCCATCCACACCGAGAATCAGTCGTAACGTCTGAGGCGGAGGGGGCTGCCGACCTTACGTTCTTAACCAGAACCAGAACGAGTATAGCGGGTCGCAATCCACTACCTCCAAGAGTACCGAAAACCTTAACCCCGGCAAATATACTCTTCCGTTCAAAACTAAAACTGCATTTAATTCTTTTTTTTGCGGCAGAGCCGCATATATCTAAGGTTTTCCTAATTGAATAGTAAAACCTAACTAATATGCACTGCTACTGGCAGTGCTCTTGTTACGATATGGCTACACCATTGTGTGTAATTTCTTGGTGAGACAGCATTAGTTGATACACTTCTGGTGTTGTGTGCAGAATGGGTTATGACGAAAAATTTATTACTCGCAGACATGCCTTATCTTTGCAAAGGTGACAAGTGTATCAATCGTGCTTTCGAAGGGTGTGCTGGTTTACCAGAAAACACAGGAGTGAAGCCTACGCACATTCAATCACGGCATGTCACCGTATCAAGTATGGGCTGGAATAGAACAATTATTGTCAAACTCAACGGTGTTAGGCGGTCACGCGTACGTTCAAGTAACAAAAGAGAGAGGCATTGTCAATCTATTACTGCTTTATCGAGCTCTCAGTCTTTCATAGCACGGGAAAGCGCATCGCTTTGAAAAAGCGATCGTGTATTTGTTATTTAGTATACAGTGAAAGCAAAAACGAAATTCAAGACGATGAAGGTACAAATTCGACGCAGGCTGAAGAGACGGATCACGATGACTACCATATTTTGAAACAAAAGAGTCGTTAAACAAGCAACACCAGTTGAACCAGTCGTTCAGAAAGCTGCAGAAGCTCCACGACCTATTCGTTAAGGTCTGAACGAGATATACAGATTTTGTGGCGGCGTCCGCCGTGAATTACTTCGAAGGCGGGGTCATATCGATGCCGAGTGATCGCAAACCGATCGGTGACCGATGAATTTTCTGTGTAAATGAGAATAAAGTAGGCGAAGCTTAGCACACCAAGGCACGTCTAGTGCTGAATACGTTTTAACAGAATTTCGTGTTGGTGAGATATTTGTGTGATATGCAAAAGTATCTGCAAGCACAATATGGCCATGACAATTGTGTTCTATCGAGCTGTCTTGTATATTATGGTAGCACTCGATCGGATCTACAGCGGCGATGATTTATTTGATCGAGTTTGCAGTGAATTCATGCCCCACTGATTATCGAGTACCCAAACGAGTCTATAGGTATATTATGAGGCACTTGAATCAAGCTTCATGCAATACTCTCACCAGCTTGCTGATATTTTTTTAACCGTATTCTTTCTACCTTGAACTGGACAAAAAAAAATTCAGATCAAACGCATTTTTAATGAGTGCTTTGATTGTCAGCAAGTAGTCGATAAAGATTTAGTCTAGCTTCCTAATATTTTAAAGGTACATTACAAGCAGAGAAATTTGCCCAGTGCTATTAGTATGATATTGTGTTTTCATTCGGATGGTTCAGATACGATTAATGCTCAATGGTCTGGTATCTGCTCAGCATGTCGGTGGCACATTGACAAAGCCACATTTAAGTCGCCTGATACGCGTTTGCGCGATGCTTCGGTACGAATTGGAAACCATTTGGCACTGGACCAAGCAGCATCTCGGATATTTTGACCCAGTCCACAGCCTGATCACTTGCCATTAGCGTCTCGAGGTCGTTGCGTCCATAATAGGGCGACGGACGGTCATTGATACGTTGAGGGAGAGTATCGAGCAAACCAACGGGAATGTAACGACATAGAAACGATTGCCACTCGAGCAGATAGCGGCGAGTTCGGTTTACACCCTTCTGGTCCGAACCCCAATGCTCCAAACCAAAGCGAACAAAATCCTTGAGTAAGTCCAAACGCTCCGAGGCCGAGATATCCCAGTGACGGCATTCCTTAATTTCCGTGGGCAGCCATGGCTTGATTAGAGCACCACGTGCTAACATGCACGTATCCAGCTTGCCGTTTTGCAGGTGCTTATTAAACTCCTCATACGATAGAACATCCCCACCTCCTATAAACGGCACGTGTGGCTGTGGATTGTTATCCACGGTGTCCTGTTGAGCATCACTACATTGATAAATGTAATCCCAATCAGCATTTTTTGTGTAGCGCTGTAACCGTGATCGACCGTGAACTGTTATGGCGTCAATAGACTGCGTAGCCCGTAGCCTGAAGTCTGCCGTAACAACTGCAGCATTTACATAAGCCATAGAAGCCCGAACAGACTGCAGTTTGGGGACAAGCTTGTGAGCATTTGGCTGCTTTTCGCTCCAACCAGTGCGGAGCTTTACTGTTAGTCCTGGTGACTTTGATATGTCACCGGTACGCATGCGCGTTCCAAGCTCCAGTCCAGTCAATGCACCCGAAACGACCTCTAACAAACGAGGTGGTCGTGTCATCAAAGCAGATCCAGCACCAGCACGACACACAATATCAATAGGACAGCCCATGTTAATATCGACAAAATCAACGTCCGTTTCTCGAGCAAGAAGTTCGCACACACGCGCCATCTGGTCGCTAAATGATCCTGCAATCTGAACACCAAAAACATCCTCACTCTTGTGACGTCGAAGCAACGCCCATTCAGACTGCTGAGCCTTGAGCAGGTTGGTGGCCATTGCCATTTCACCGCAAGTGATATCAGCACCAGTCTGCTTTAGCAGCCGACGGAACGGCAAGTTACCCACGGTAGTAAGCGGGGCAATATAAATCTTCCGCTTGAAGTCTACCGGCTTGCGCTCAGCCAGCAATGGGCTTTCAGAAGCAGGTTCCATTTGTACATCATTTAAATAAGTTCTGACCTGAACATCCGGAGCGGATTCAATTATTGGCACAGTCGAATCAGCGGAATCAAGACGCAACGCAGTTGGTAGCTCAATAATTTGAGGAGTTTCACCAGCATGCTCCATCGTAGATTTTCCGTCAACATCAGGTCGCTGCTGCCGCTTGTTGTTTTTCTTGCCTTTCTTCATCTGCTGTTTTGACTGAAAGTTGTACGTGTCTTTGCGTAATTTTGTACGCACATCATGGCTCAAATCGTTTACTTCATCGCACATGTTATCACCTGGTGTCTCCACGTACCCCTTACGTCTTACGTTGCAGTATATACCGTTTAGCTTTTCAATGTGCGCATGAGCAAATCGACATGCCAAGCCATAGCGGCAATACCCCTTTGCGTCAAAAACAGGACAACAATCACCCAGATCCTTGGGTTTGCGCTTCATATAGTCGTCGATATCGTGACTAAACTTACAGCTATCACCAAATTGGCAGCTCTCCCCGGAGGCCACAGGACGGCAGAGCAAATCCGCGGGATCTTGCTCAACATCAATTGGCCGTTTTTTAAAAGTTCCTCGCTTCTTCTTACCGCCATCGCAGTCACGAGCGTTCTTTCCTCCTTTGTCTACAACATCATCAGCTTTATCACTCACAACGGGCTTATGAACCGGCTTGGCTTTCAGAAACCTAGAGCATGTCCAGAAAATTAAGAGTGATAAACAATCAAAATAATCTAGGACTTAACTTACTCTTTTTTAATGGGTGCTTCGCCCGTTCGATACTCATGCGTGATAAGTTTGTGTACGACTGGGCTCTCTGCGCTATTGATTTCTGCAATTGACGTATGCTGCAGCTCCTTGACGCTATCGGTCATTTTTTTATTTTGCTCAATGACTGGAGTGACAACGATTTTTATGGTATATTCTTATCATTTTATGTCTTAAAAGAATAATCACCTACAAAACACCAATCCCTGGTGCAGATGGAAGCACTGCCACCTTTCACAGCCCGAATTCGCTTTTGTGAAGCGTTATGTAAGTCTACTAAAGAGATAGAGAAGGTCATAGATTCGTCTTTGCACTAAACAGAGCAATGGTGTGTCGTATTGGCGACCTCCAGGCTACCAGTACTTTCGAGCATCACTCAAAGTCCATTAATATGGTGTAATATGGACGTTTTCTTTGACCTTCCACATCTGCTTTAGATCACCAGATTATGAGCCTGTGGGGCCTTACAGTGACGATTTTGTCGCGTCTAACCGGTAAGGAAGACCCGCGTGAGCGCTGCCCACGCTAGTAGGCTCCTCCTTCGCTTTGTAATAAAGGGCCTACAACGATGGTGTAATGCCCTGTATGCACTTGGTCTAAGAAAATGAAAGTAACTGACAGGTCGACCATATACATGGGCAATATAGGATGACTAGTTGTCATTTGCAAATTTTGAGCTTCGACATATCTTGACTTATGTTTCGCAAATCAAATCACACAGGGCATGCATATATGGTTGGCAGCGTCTCACATGACAGAAAGATAAATATCTATTCATCTCAAAGAAGCCACTGACTTGTTAATCGTTTTCGAATTCTAACGAGTCGTAGCCGTCCTCGCCATCACCCGTGTTAGCAAATTCCTCTAAGAGCGACTTGACTCGTGCAATAGATGCAGGAGACGATACGATCGAGCACGAATTGTGTCGCTTGACAGCGACTAACAAGATATCTTGGTCCCTAGTCTGTGCAGGTTCCATCTCATCTAACACTATGACGACACTTCCTTCGGTCATGTTAGCAAGTTGTTCACAAGCATGATCTCCAGCATTCTTTAGCCAAATTTCGCGCGCTTTCAAAAATGACGTGAATTTTTCCTGGGGCAAGCTCAAAATTCGTCCTTTCATTTCGGGAAGCAATGCATGGGCGCCATTGTCTGTAAGTTCATCGGCAACGCAATCACGTCCAGCAGCTGGTCGCATCGCATATACGCCGGCGTGATATATACTTAAGCGTCCCTGAAGCTGATTCGTCAGAAGTTCTGCTACTGCGGGTGTCACTAGATGCACGGCACGCTTTTGACGAGCCATTCCTACGCGTTCTAAGAGCACTGGGTTGCTTTCCAGGGCATAAAATGATTGAATGGATGCAACGTGGTGCTGGTCGATCTTGGTAAAGCTGCCAAAAGGCTTTTTAGCCTTCGTCTGCGTTTTTTCCTTGTTCCCATTTGCCTTCGTCTTCTTCATTGACTGCAAAAGTGGGGCCGGTCCTGCAACTTGAGTATTAATTTCATGAACCTTTTGAAAGACAGCGAGAAAGAGGCCGTGGGTATCATTCTGATGAGGTAAGATGCGGACACAACGATCCAAATGCATATCATTGCATTCTTCATCGGAGGGTGGCCACATGGACGGACGAAGGCGATGTCTCTGGCTCTCTGGGGCGTCATCCCACGAAGCTAAATCTAGAACAGACCACTTGGTCAAGCCGTTCGAGCGCCGCAACTCTTTAAGAACATTCTCTGTGACTAACAGCTTTAATGCGCCCTTTGATCGTCGAAGCAGCTCAGCTACCACCGCCTCATTTTCAATCGGATTCAAAGACCGCGTGCTGTAAAGCATACTGCCTCCAATGCGCAGGAGAGTCGCGGCATGTTCAGCCACACGTACCTGGTCTGGGTGGTACGCTAACGACTCATTCGGGCTCCACGTCCGCCATCTTTCCGGAAATTTACGAATCAGTCCATCGCCAGAACACGGTGCACAGCAAATAACACGGTCAAATAAAGCATTAGCACTTTTTGATGTCGGAAATTCCTCCGGCTTGTGCCCAGTAACAATGAGATCGCGCGCAAGTGGTATTGTTCGTGTCAAATTCCGCGCAGTGGATGCAGCCGCCGTGGCGTCACGTTCGTTTATCACCAAAACATTCCGAGCGCTTAAAATATCCCTAAATCCCGCGTTAGCCTGTCGACCAGAAAAAAGATATTCTTCCAAAATCGGCGCACGATGTTCACCTCCACCACAAAGATCCAGCACCCGCTGACCTGGCTGAACATCTAAGAATGCCGACAGTACAGTCGCAGCTGGGTCTTGCCGAAGTAGCATTCCCAATGATCCCTGCATACGCACATACGTACTGAGCGATCGGAGTGTTTCGACCTTGCGAAATAATTTACTATCTACGGACAACTTCCACAATCTCTTCCCAGGTACCCACGATTCGGGTCGAAAACACATGTGTAGCTCACCCCCACCAACAGGTGTGGGAACTGTCACGTTTTTAAGATTGAAGTCCAGCTCCAATGATCCCGTCACAATCTCGCTCAGACTCGAGTAGTTACCATTTATCCGCATGTACACCGGTAGTGGCTCTTTTAAACAAGCCAAAAAGCGTTCAAACTCGTTCTTTTCCAGTCCTAAGATTCGCTCGTAAAACTGCTTAAAAGCAAGGTTCTCTCTGTCAAATTTACGCCATACAATCTTCTCTGCTTTCTCTTCACGAAATCTTTTTTTGCGCTGCTCCACCACATGCTTCTCCAATTCAGTACGTGCTCGTTTGCTTGATGAATTTGACTGCGTCTCTAGCTGATGAACCAAGTCAAGCACGCCGTGATTATCTTCCAAAGATGGCAGAGGGATGGCAACGGCTTGAGTCCCTTCGTCAGAAGAGTCCGAGTTGCTATCGTACAACGTCTTGTGGTGATCATGTCGGGATTTTCTTGAATTTAGACTATTTGATCCATCTTTAGTATTTACAGACCCGTTTTCCTGCTGCCTTTTCTTCTTCACACGACGTAGAGTTGCGCGACTTCTTCCACCCATACAGACTGACTGGCAATGATAGCTCGTCCAACTTTCTCGCATCAAATCATATTTCAACCAATCATGTTTTTTTACTTATCATTAATCCGAAGCCCTGAATCCTGAAGGGAGAGATCAAACAATTCCGTGCATGGAGACGGCGATGGAGCAATTCCGCGCCTTATTGAGCGCGTGCGTGGCCGTGAGCTCCGCTGCATCATCTTCAAAAGATGATAAGGATATTGAAGAATGCGTCAAAAGCGTTGACAAGGCGCTAGGCCTTACTGCAGAGCAGCTACACTACTGGAATTCATTATATGACGATTCTGCATCGGGTGATGCCATTTCATTGGCTCAAGATCTAGCACTGTTGCTAGCCAGCACTAACGTGTCAACTAACAAGATCCTTAATCTGCTTCGAGTGCTGCTACTTCACCCATCTTTTCACTGCGGAGGACTTGTACGAATGGCGCATATGACGTTCGAGGGCTTAAAGCTGACTAAACGCTGGGATGTGTTAGAAGCCATATCGACTCGGTTACTGGATATAATATACTTCAATATATTAAGTGAACACTCGAGAGAGCAAGCATTTAGGTTCTACATTGAAGTATTAGTGGGTTACCAGCATTCCGCCGAGCTTTACGAGAAAAATGTGGTCAATTTGATCGAATTAGCGAAGTTATTTCGTGCAAACAGTGAAAAGTCGCGGGAGATTGTGAAAATCCTGTTGGTGGCCTGTGCTGCCTTGGCACATTGTCATCGCGGTTATGAAGCTGAAGCCATGATTCTTCGACGAGCGATGATAGCGAATTTTGGTCCCCATGTTGACCGACCTACCGCTGCAGAAGCCGAACAACTGTTGCGAAGCTGTGCTTGGATGTTGCCAGTGGAAAAGCTAGACAATTCACTACCGTCTATTGAGGGAAAATGGGTCATAGATGAATTTCTTACTGATCATCATGGGAGTGCTGGGTCCCAAAATGCAGGTTCAGTTTTGTTGAAGAAGACGACCAATTGTTTTGCTCACGAATTTCAGGCGACGATTGTGGATGACAAGCAGCATCAAAAATTGGATTTAACAGGGTATTTGTATCAGCGGATGCCCGAGATGCAAGTGTTAATGGCCCATCCGGAGTCGATGGGAGGTTCAATGTGGGAATTAGAAGGGCATTGGAGACATATTTATGACGAGAACAAACCGATTAATTCAATTGCACATATGGGTCCAATCGGCGCGCCAACATGGGACTGTCGAGCATGCACCATGAACAATGAAACGAGCGCAACCAAGTGCACAACCTGTGGCACTGAGCGCCCGACTGATGCTAATATTCCCATCGACTCGAACAGGGCTATTGGAAGTAATCCTGCGCCGTTTTTTGCTGTGTTCGGCTCGGACTTGTCTTTTATGCGCATAAAATGGTCCCGGGGTGAGCAGCAAGGTGTATGGTTGGCTCGAAAACAGACTGTTGAACGAACCTTTGATCTTGCAACGTCGCTGAATGCAGCAAACGATGCAATGACGGATTGTACTACTTTACCAGCGTATGTATATTTTCCCAATAGAGAACCCGACAAAATGTTAATATTAGAGCGAGCTCTACTGTCTACGTGGGAACATACGGAGTTTTCAATCCAGCTCTGGATTCGTCCCGAATGTTTGCCTTGTCGAAACAAACCTCAGGTTGTGCTTGCAAATGGCCACGACTTCGAGCTTCTGATCAACTGTGCAGGACATTTAGAATGGAAACTCGCTGGAGGACGGTACTGTGTAACTTCAAGTGATGCTGTGCCCTTTGGAGTCTTTTGTCACGTCACGCTTTTGTATGGCAACGAAAGTATAGCGTTATTAATCAATGGTTCAATCAATGGTGAAGTTACGAGCTTAAAAGGGAGGAACGATGCAGGTCCCCCTGCTCAAGCTGTGTCGCTATTTACACTAGGTGGAAGCTTTGAAAGTTGCGAGTCTAATGATAAAGTCGATGGCCCAAGCTGTTTTTATGGACAGATGCTCGATCTACGCATTTGGTCAACGCTAATTGAAAAACTTGATGAGAATTATAGCATAAGAAATGCTCTTTCAGGTCGAGAAGCGCATCTGCTGGGGTACTATCCTCTCGTCGGTAATTCCGAGCGGTTATTAATTGATTTATCAAAGCTTCAAAATCATGCTTGCATTTTTGAAGGATTTCGCACTTCAGGCTCAACGCATGATGGAGCGACGAAGTCAATCTGTAACTTTACCCCAGTAACATCTGTAGAAAAAGTTCCAGTTACAAATTTGTTTGCGGTCTTCCTTGGAAAAGAATTTTTTGGCAGTGGCAAATTTGTTTTACCAGACCGAGTAAATAGTGGATTACAGGTAAATTGTGGGACCTCTGGAGCTGCGCTGTGGCGCCAGAACAGTGTTCTAGTTGCGAATGGCTTTCAATCAATACTTTCTATCGCACCCTTGACAGCAACTGAAGTACAGGTTGCGCGGAAAACTGTCGTGTTTGCAATGTGCGAAGCGTCATTTTGGGACGTAGCTCCTTTGTTGTCACAAGGAGCATACCTGTCGAACTTAATGGCTGACGATGTTGCAGATCCATCGATAAGGCATCATGACGGCTCAGTAATGATGGTAAAAGTAAGCATCGATGCAGTAGCGCCAGGAATCTGCATGTATGAGATTGGACTGTATATTTGGTCAAAAAGTCTAGGGTATCCATTGTCACGTGTATCTGGTATTGCTGGAGGTTCTTCAAATGATCCATCCGAGATTCGTATCCAGTACCTTATTCCAAGACGAGTTCTATCAGTTGCTATTGGAGACGTTGGCGTGGTCTTTGAAGCTGCGGTCGATCTGGAGCTTGCACTTTGTATGGAACCCGGCAGCGCAGTGCGCACTGGATTAATATTTCCTGCAGGAAAGGATAAGAGTAATAAACAAAACTCAATCGGACTCAAAGGGTGGACATTTGAATCATTTGACGATAATTTACCCAAGGAGTCTTTTTTACAGTCAGTCTTAGGGAATGTATATGCCTCCTTACAGCCGAACGGACGGAAAGATGAAGAGAAGAACAGCGAAAGCGAGTTGATTGCTTGTACGCGAGTAAGTACTGACGGTAGCGCTATTACCCAAGAATCGTACGGTTGTCAGACATGCGGTTTAGTTCATGGGAGTCGCATTTGTCGGTCATGTGCCATCATTTGCCACGATGGCCACGAATTGGTTTTGCTGGGTGTCACTACGACGGTTTGTGGATGCCATGTTCGAGGAAAAGATTTGTGCCGCTGTATCAATCCAGTTCAAATATCTGAATTTCCCTTGATCAACCGGCCAGTGCATGTGTCATTTTGGGGCTGCAACAAATGTACAGTAATTAACAGCATCGATAATAAGCAATGTAGTGTATGCGGAAATAATGCACCAGAGACCAAGGCATCGATGGTACCGAATTCTATTTCCCCCGCACTAGCTTCGGACGAGCAGCCCCCGCCTGTGACAAATTGGTCGTGTGAAGCATGTACTATGCTGAACGACGTTTCTGCTACAAAATGTTCCGTTTGTGATACTGTGCGAGCAAAGCAATCAGAGCTCGTAATTGACGAAATAAACTACAAGAGCAAGATGGATAATGGGCTCACCACTCTCTATCATGCAGCTGAAAATGCTACAAATGCAGACCATGTGAAGCCTATTAGCTCCTGGACGTGTGGCGCGTGCACCATGACCAACGAAGCATCGAATACAACGTGTCACATGTGCGGGAGTACTCGAGAGGGCTCTACTGAAACCGCTGTTGGCATTACCGAAAAAACGACGACTTTTCCATCGTCGAACGCAAAAGCTACGTCTGAATCGATTCCAATGAGCATGGATGAAGGCGATCAGGCGAAACTTTTCGAGCTTGCTATGGATTTAGAGAGATTCAGACTAAAGAATATTAAATGTTTGGACGAATTTAAGCGTGCAGTAGCCTTAAAATTCAGTCAATTGCTGGAGAATGAACGTATACGCGACTCAGTGTGGGAAACGACTGGAGGTAAGATGCTTATTAAGCTTGACAAGAGCTTCGTAGGTGAGTACGTGCATGGAACGTACGTAGAAAAAGATGGGATACTTAGTGGACTTGCTCGACTGATGGAGGACGGAGCATGGAAGCTCGATGGCACATTTAAAAAGTCAAGTCATTCGCAATCAAACGCATGCACTTTGTATTGGGACAAAATTGCCTCTCGTTTTGATGGAAAGTGGTATCGCGGCGATGGATCGGGCGACTGGAAATGTCTTTATACGCCGTATGCGTCTGACTTTTGTGGGTTAGCGCCTGTAGACCCCGTAAAGAAGCCGACCGACCTGCAACCATTCTATCGTGGTATGGTTAATATGAAGCAGAATCTCGCAAATGTGTGCTACCAAAACAGTTTTCTTCAAACACTGTACATGACTCAGGACTTCCGACGCTTAATTTTGACCTGTGATGCCCACAATTACTTAGCATCTTTCGCTGATCACCTTTCAACGAGCGAGAATGTTGTGGCATCTATTCAAGATCTTTTTACCCAAATGACCGCCTCACAGCGTCCGTTTTTGGCTACTCACGCGTTGCAGCGCTGCTTACCGACCGAATTCAAAAATGGGCGCCAGCAAGATGCGTCAGATTTTGCACATTTCCTCATTGATGCGCTTAGCCAGCACCTAAACCAACATGACGACACTGCGTCCGTTATACCCTCAATTTTTGGTGGACATCAAGCGACGATTCTGGCCTGTAAATTGTGTGGCAAGAAGTCAGTTAACCGCGAATACTTCTGGGAGCTGTTACTTAACATGATTGACCTCCGCTATACACCAATTACGAGCATTACTGCAGTAAGTGGATCATCGATGGACATTCAAACGCCAGATGGTTACGAACGTCTTAACACAGATTTAAATAAGGATCGTACTGGGGCACCTTATGTGTATCTTTGTGTGAAGAGATGCCCAGAGCGAGTAACGACTGATGCTTCAATGGAAGATAACTGTGAACGAGTACTCCCAGTTACAGAGCTGGTCGTGAAGGTTGCGTTGACTACCGATCCAAATCCAGTAATGCTTGGATTTGAACGTGTAGAATTAGATCTTAACGTCGGTGGGGGCTCAAGCGCGGGCGGCAAAAAAAAAGTTTATTTATTTTTCCGTCGTGATCCCAACGGATCACCTATTACTGACCTGCTAGTAGTTTATGGCAACGAGTCGATCCCGGACGGCTTTAAACAAATTCAAGTGGACTTAAATCAGGGCGATGGCACAAAAGTGTATCTCTGCTATCGATGTGATATGCCGATAACAGATTTAAAAATTGTTAATAGTGGCATTCCTGGATACCGAATGGTAGATCACTTACTTAACCTAAGTCACGAAGAACCCGTTAAGCAGTATCTGGCGCTTAAAGTAGGCGGCAACGAACTCTGTTTGACCGATCTGAAGCTCGTTAGTGGACATGATGTGGTTCTTTATGAGGAGCAAGGATGGCAGTCAATTGGAAGCCCATATTCTTCGGTTCTGCCCTATAAATCTCTTTCTGATTCCAAGATATTCATTCCACCGCAGCTCATGATTCGTCGCGGCCATGGCAATCCAATTTTTGCCGTCGATGTCTTCCGTGCTCCCCGTCAAGTGCCAAAGTATAACGACTATGAGGTCATTGAACTTTTTCCAGCTGAGAGCTCTAATGATGATATTGTCATGCAAGTAAAAGGTGATTGGATGGGAAGTGACGATACAGACCGAGGACGGAAGGCGGTGCGAATACGTTCGGTATCTGAACCAATTTTCGATGCGCTACATTTGAGAGGCTCGTTTGAGGATAAAGGAGAATTGTCTTGCGTTGCAACTTGCGTTACGAGCTGGTCAGAATCAATTTCGGCTAGAGCTGTTAATTTAAGCGTACCTGCAGACCCTTTGTCAATTGAAAGCGCAGGTGTTCGCGCATCTGTTAAAAATTATCACCTGTCCGGCTACTGGAAGAGCGCAAAAGTACCATGTGCGCAACTCTTCAATGTGGAATTGCGACCTAAACCAAGTGGTGCTTTAGGTGCTGCAGACAATGCAGATTTGTCGGCAGACGGGGAGCTTGCGTGTTTATACTCCCTGAATGGTACAATTGGTGATGGTAAGGGAAATCCGATCGCCATACAGGGTATTCAGACATCGAGAGCGGTGAAGGTCAAGTGGCCTATCTCATCAATTATGGTATTACGCGGAGACGAGTGTGTTCCAGAAGGCATGCAGGTTGTCCGTGAGACATGCTCGGGTCGATCAGCAAATCTTTTGGCTCAGACGACGTCATCGCACACGCTTTTTCTTGCAGTTAAACGGGAAGAGGCGCCCGCCAATGGCTATATAACTGATGTTTGCGTGATATATGGTGAGATTGACGCTATCCCAGAGCACTTTATATGTATCAAATCAACACCTGCGAATTATTCTGCCAATTTGAATGACGGCACCCCAGGAATTCCGATTTTTATTTGTTATCGACAAGATAATAGGATCAAGGATGCTTCTTCCAAATATTTGATGGATCTCACGTTGATGTGGACATCAGGGGCACAACCAGACACGCTTCCAATGGGGTATACCAAGATTCAGCACACACCTTTAGGGATGGAAGCTAATTTAAATCAAGGCACGAGTGGTGTGGCAATTTATCTTTGCTACTCAAATTGTGAGGCTCGAGACATTATCAAGCCAATACACCATTCACTTAATGGTAATTACGAGATCACGAGTTCCCCATTGCCAGCGTTTGGTCGATTTCTCAGTTTTTTTGTCAGTGATGAACTTGAAGAAACGCGTGTCGTCGAAGGTAACTTTGGTATCGTGTTGCATACTCACCTGACTGGCTTGATGAGTGGATTTCTGTATACACCAAAGCGACAACAGAAGGGAAGTAGTCCAATTCGCACTATCCTTGGTGCATGGAGTATTCAAAGTCCGATGGCTGGCGGTGTGAATGCAAGCGTAAACGCTCATTTGCCATCGATGTATCCATTTGAGTTGACTCTGAATGATGCAGGCACAGAGATGGATGGATGGTGGAGCGGTGCAGAAGAAATTTTGGGTGGGATATCCAGACCTATAATCTTGCCGGCAATTGGTGGATCTCCAGGAAGTGCAGTACCGTCTCCTGTTGTTACCGGTGGCAAATGGAAGCTTGTTAAAGATTCTTACGTCCATGTGGCCTTTAAAAAAGATTACAGCACTGAGTGGAAAGATGGCCAGCTTGTGTTTTCAGAGCGCGTGTGGCGGCACGATATTGAGTCGATGCTATCGCGTTTCGTTGCGACTCGTACATTAGGTGGTGATAATGCGCTTCTGTGTGATGTTTGCCAGAAAAAAACAGAGTCACGGACACACACTGTAATTTTTGAGCCACCTGAACACCTGATCATTACACTTAAGCGAATGTATTACGACTGGAATCAACAAAAGGCGTGCAAGTACCTGCACGATGTTCGTTTTCCAACATTATTGTCGCTTCCATCGCTCACTGAGGAAGAAGAGAATGCTGTGTATGGTCATACGGACGACGAATCACCTCGCGTCAGTCAGCAGAATAAATTTCGTCATTACGGTTTGTACGGTGTACTAGTCCACTCTGGACTCACAGCAAATTCAGGTCACTACTTCAGCTTTTGTCGTGAGAGTGACGAAAGCACACGACAGTTGCATTTGGAAGACTCACCGTTATCTCCATGGATTAAATTTAACGACACGAAGGTCGAGCGATCGAGCTGGAAGGAGATCAATAGACTTGTGTCCAACACAGTGTCCGATACCGTTTATCTTTTGCTCTATCGGAAACTATCGTACAATCCTCGAATTTCTGGAGAAGGTTCAGACGTGCTGGAGGGCGTGACCTCAGATGATGAAGAAGCCATGCTGCTGGCGAAAGCGATGGCGTTGTCTATGTCGGCGTCAAGGCATCACCGACATGAAGCCGAAAACAAGTGCGAAGTTGACGATTTAAACGGTGTCGACGACTTTTCGATGCTATCGACCAATGCAGTGGCAAAAACATTATTGAAAAAGGTACGGCTGATCTGATCCCACTACGTGCTTTTATTTATCATTGTGGTTTTTGGTAGGTGGAGAATGAAAACGCAACGTTTCTGCGTGAGATCATCGCAGATACATCCAGTGCATTGCATGCTGACGATTTGCACACACTTCTCGTACTACGTCACTCGATCCCGCTGCGATTGCGTGCGATCCTTGACGAAATCTGCTGAAAGCTCTGGGTGGTCGTTTAGACAGCAAAGAATACCAACAATATTCGCAAGATGCAACAATTTTGAACAACTAGAATGATTTTTATATTCCTATCACTTTAGTCGTAAAAGGCAGAATCAAGTCAAATCTAAAGAAAAATGTAAACACCATCATCTCAAAGCAATAACGACTCGACAGTCTCAAGCAGCAACAGCAACCATATTGAGACGTTTAAATACGCCTGTTTGTTCACCTTGTGCCTGTTCCCATCTCGCCAATTTACTGCGATATGTCTGGATTAGAAATTTTAGCGCCGTTGGCCCACCTATGACGGCTTCTAACTTATCACGACTGCGCAGATCCAGCAGTGTAAGCTCAGGCAGTCCATTTGATATAAACAAAACCGAGTGCGATGTGAGTTTCATACAACCCCAGAGGCGAAGCTCTTTCAAATGCGTCATCGAAGTAGCCACCTGCATAATCGCGGTATCAGTAAGACGCGAGCATTGCGACAGGTTTAGTGAACGTAGACCTGGCAGTGATTCACAAAGCATCTTAACACCTTTATCTGATACTTTGTAGCAGTAGCGCAAGTTCAAATCTTTCAAGTGCTGTAGATTCATGGCGATCGCCGAAACAACATTATCGTCTACTTTGTGTGCGTAACGTAGATTCAGTCTTTCCAGCCAACGGCAATGCTGCACGACATAAATGATCGAAGCATTGTCGACGTTATGACAGCCCCAAAGGCTTAGATCTTGAAGCTGAGTACACTGAATGAGCGTACAAATATCTTCACCATTTACTGTATGGCAGCCAAGCAAATCGACGACGCGTAGCGTCGCTGCATTGTTCGTCAACAGCTTCTTCAATGCCAAACGATCAACGGCCATATCTCTTAGTCTTAGCTCTCTTAAGTTGGTACACATGTTGGCAATTATCCGTTGTGCCTTTGAATCCATAGACACACATTTGCTCAGCTCCAGCACCGTTAACGATTGAAAAGCCACCGTAGCATATTTGCTTTCTAATACTGAAATGTCAAATCCATCACAATTGGCAAGTCTCAATTCTTTAAGTCCCGTGGGATTCGAATACTTTAGCACTGCTGTCCAGAAGTCCATCGTCTCGAACTTCGACCTCAAAGTACATAAATGTTCCGTTTTGTTCACACACGCATCACACTGCCGACAGTAGGACACTAAGATGGGGGCCAATGCTTCTCGACTAAGCAGCTTTTTATTGCTGCTCAGCAAAGCAAATCGTTCTTCAATGCTAAGAAAGTCTAACACTTGTCGAAAACTCTCACTGGGAAGACTATCAAAGCCTTGGGACACCTTGTCGCTGACAAATTCAAATGAAGATGAAGTCATGTAGATGGAGCTTTAAGCTATTCCGATAGCCAAAAAGACGTGCGGGTTTCGTGTGATCGTTGATTAATCCACTGATGCTGTGGGCAGTCCTTCAGCATTCCCTTCAGCTGCTAAACGAAGCGGAAGAGCAGGCTGCAATTGCGTGAGCACAGACTGCGAAGACGCGAGGCGTATTGAAAACTGAATGCGAGGGGGGTGAGAATATTCGGGAAAAAGGGAATCGAAAACCCATCATAGTGCGTCTCTAAGTGCGAAGGTTTCTAACAGTTTAGATTTCCAATATTAATATTACATGTGGAGCCTGAACTTCAATGAGTAATCTTACGAAATATAATCAATAGCAAGATACTATACTATGCAAAGATGATAAGGCCATCCATTACATATACTCAGATTTATTGATCGATAGGAGCAAATGTAAAAATGCGAGATATCTGCATCAAAAGCGATGACCAAAGGTGAAAGTCCCGGATACTCATTTCACATTACAGAGACAACGGTAACTTATCGAGATATCTTTTCAGATTGCCTCGTTCTTTGCTATGAGGATTTCGATAAAAATGGACACACTCAGAAGCGCTTTTTGCTTGTTGTGTAGGCATCGTAAGCTACATCGTATCCACATAATAGACAGGCTGGACAATGGCCTCTCAACAAACGAAGTGCTCACGAAACAGTGATTGAATTTCGGTCTATAATCAATATTACCTCATGTGCTGTTTACCGACTTTGATATTGCCGAAGTGCTATTAAGTGCATCTAAGACCTTAAAAGAAACAAGAAGTGTGGATACGTGCTAAAATGTCCTTGATGGTGGTATCCTACTGTCGTTGATATATCGTAAAGAAAAAGAGAGACCAAGAAGTTTGTAATTTCGACTCAGTAATCATGGTGCCAGATAATGCTGTTTTTGCATACCGATCGTGTTAGATAGATCAATTAAAAGCTAACGAGAACTAAAAGAGCTCAGAATAATCAAGTCCTCGACACACGTCATTCCACGTTCAGTCCGCGGGGCATGGTTGGGACTCCAGTCCGATAGACCTTCGGAATTGAAGCATCCGACTATATCACTTACAAAGGGTAGAGCTTTTTTCACTGACAATCTCATGTGGTCAACACGCATTCATTATTATGAGAAGGAAAATCCTCGATATATATATCGCTCTCAAAACAGCAGAACAACCTAGATAGCAAGCAACTTCAAAATTTTCGGTTTGATCACTGGGACAGGAAGTACTCAAGCTGTACAAGCTAGTGTACTTGATTCGGTCGATGGATATTACCAAATCTAAATGAGGAGGAGGAAGTCCCTTTGATGGCCAAAGCAAGATTGGTATGAGGAAGTCAAATAGTCCACTCAGCGACGAGTTCTGTGTCAAAATGGCATGACTTGAAATTCACGCATTCATATCATAAACGCAATCATGCAGTAGCCCATCCGTGTCCAAACAGTATTAAAGCTGGTTTTCGAACATAGTACACTCGCCTTGCTTTAGGGTGGAATACTTCTCTGTCGTTTGTCTAAGCATTTCTACTCGCTGAATATTTTCGTGATAATAGATTATTTGATCGCAGCTAAATTGTCGCGCAACATAAATTGTACCTTCATATTTCTTCATTGTCAACCTGCAGCGGGGCTACCGTAGCTCTTTGCAAAGCTAAGCTAAAGTCACCGGCCTTATGTTCTATACTAGAACCAGTACGAGTGTAGCGGATTGCAATCCGCTACCTCCAGCTTACTTGAAAACCTCAACCAAGGAAAAGACACTCTTCGTTCAAAATTGAAACTGTATTTATCGGTTTTATTTGCGGCAGAGCCGCCTGTATCTAATACGTAAGGTTATCCCAGTTAAAAAGTAAAAGTAATGAATATGCATAACTATTGGTAGTTTTGCCACGGAGTGGCTTCTGCATCTTGTTACCGTGTAGCCGCATCATTGTGTGATTACATCAACTTCCACACCTACATACGGCCACACCATCTTGTGTGACCCACCCTTTCATACAAGGGTACGTGTACCCCGCTACACAAATGAACAAAATGCCAACGCCGAACTACAAACTTACTTGCAAATCAAAAAAACTATCCCAGTAATGCTTAAGAGTAAGGACAACTATCCTTTGATCTCAATTTGGTTAATAAAACGGTCAAGGCGTACTTGACAAATGAGATTGTATTGGCCGTCAGCCTCAACTTGGGTTTCCACTTGTGCTGATATCTCATCGGGATAACGGTGGGTGTAAGAACAGCTATTTCCAAACGGAAATGCCTCTCAGTATGCAGCACAACAAATACTTAATTCGACACAGCAACGATCCGATATCTAGTCCAAGCAACGAAACATACCTTTCCTCATATAAGTGGCGACATGAGACGCCATCAAATTTCTTTTATTAATCGTATGGCGCAATAACAGTAAGTCCTATTGATCTCGGGTGAATGTCCACTCGGCAAGCTTCCACAAGGGCTTTTTTGTCTTAGTCTGACACACAGGACTTTGACGCACTGTCTGCTTTGGGTAAATGTCACTACTTCGCCAATTTCTAAAAAAGTTAGACAAAAGGAGCGATTGCGTCCAGACAGCAATCCAAATAGCTCATCTTTTTCGTATGATATTTTTGTAGCAAATATGCTGTCGAATTTATTATATGTTGCGTAGGCTCAGCTCCAGCATCAGATTTCTCTACATCTCAATTGACAACATGTTTACGCGTGCTTGGTCAGGTGGCCTGGCATCAACGAGTCTCGTGAGTCACTGTCGAATGGAAAAATTCAGCGACAATTCCTACTCGTGGTGGTCATTTTGATAGCCTGAGGGCAGATGTCATAGCATTGAAGACGTTGTTAGATAGTCTCGACTTATTACCGTTCTGACATAACCGAGCGGGTTTCAGAAAACGGAGAAATTTACGTTCAGCAAACAATGATCTTGGCTCGTTTTGTAGGGGGGGTGGTTTCAGCATTGCACTCCATTCAGTGGTGTCCCTTGTGGATCCGCTGGCATGGCCAGTAGACAGTAGTAGAGAATGCTCTTACAGATTACATTTTTAGCTTCAACTTGCATCTTTCTTTTACCACAACCAGCCATTATCATTAAGCGTTGCCCTGAGTGGGGTTTTTGCCCAAAATTTAGTGGCAGTCCAGATAAACATTAGACCTATGTCTGCAATGGCTACATCAATCATTCTCATGTCGTTCGGTGAGACAGCTTAGATGCGATCACATCTCAAGCTCAAGGCAAGTGTTGTAGATGAGCTCTAATCTAATTTTAACGATATGCTGGGGAGTGAATAAGTTAGCTGCATGTCTTTAAAGTGATGAAATGTTACACTATTTGTGCATTTTGAGATTCGTCTTATGATCATTTTGGTCCTGTGTGACTTGATCAGCTACTTTGTGAACCGAGTAATTAGGCGGCTGAGGCTGTCTTATTTCAAGTTATAATATGCTGCCGATCAATTCCCGCAAACGCATAAAGCGGCATTCCAAACAAAGCGAAGGCGTTGTATTTGTATTGTACATGGCGACACAGTTCAAAAGATTTCTTGAGCTTTGGAATCCAAACTATCTAAACAGTTTATCTCGAGTGTGCTAGAATTAAAGTTCGTTTTGAATTGAACTTGTTGTGTGTTTGAACCCCACTTGAATCAATCAGTGTAATTTCGATATGCCCCAGGCAATCGATCTGTTAAAGCCAAGATGCAATCAATCAAAACTCTCAACATGGCAGTTGCGTTGCCAATATTACGACTCCGTATACATTGTAGCGGGGATGGAACCACCACGTTTTGACAGTGGTGGTTGAGGAAAACAAAATACTGAATACTCAGCTTTGTCTTTAGGGCGGTGACCAATACCGCGTTCTGGTGCACCAAGGAATCCTATGCTAACCCCATTACTGACTTATGCCTTTGAAAGATATTGCAATGCCTTCAGTGGTACTTTGCGTTATTTAGATAATTTGTCGCGTTTTTAATGTTATACATGTTCAGCACGGCAAAAACATTTTGATCACATCTCAAAAAACTCGATGAACATAATGCAAATGTGTTTTTTTGCTTCATTCTATATTTGTGGCACATTTGTTTGTGCCTGATAGCCACGCTCTCAGTATGCCAACAGCCGAAATATTTGCGCTATTCATAGCTAAACTATAACATTGCCTCATTCTTCATGTATTACTGAGAATTGAAGGACCTCTTGGTGTGATAGGTATCACTCTCCTTCGCAGGAAACGTTCACTCTTGCTCTCGTTGTTATTGATGTAGATACAAAACGTTTAAGCATTTGCTTACGCGAAATTTGGTGCTTGTGCATACTGAATACAAATTCTCATGATTGGTGATATCTGGAAACAGATATTCCGATCACCTCCTCGCATGCAATGTTCACTTGCCTTCCTCTTGCCTCGTTTGTGCAGAGAGTGGCTTACGCATTGCAGTGCATATCCACAGCTATATATGATTCATAGCCACCATTAATCACATAGATGCAGGGCTGGCCATTCCACATTGCGTTTGGTTCTTGATTCTTCTCTCCCGATTCCGTCATAAGCTGGATCTCTTCTAACTTGCAATCCATAGCTAATCTTGATCTGACGGACGATTGCCTGTCCAAGCAGAGTTTGTTTTTAACATTTACTACCTGCTTTCAATTTCAGCTTACTTCCAGAAGTTTTGCGTTATAAATATATTGCCCGGGTGCAAGAGAGCTTCGGTGATGCAGAAAACTGCTGTTACATTACCACTGGCAGAAGTGTAGTCCAATTGGTCATGAGATAAAATTTTCAGCTCTCGTTCGGGAGCGACATGCTTTTCAACGACGGGCTGGCGTAACCAAATGATGTTGTCCAACTGTGGGTCTTGTTTCAATATCGTAAATTAGCAGCGTTAGCGATTCAGAAGCACAACCAAAAATATTGTTGTTCAATTTTCATTGTCGCAACACAGTACATATAGTTATATAATCAATTAGATACCAATACAGCAAAGGATGTTTCTTCTGGGGGTCATCAGGAAAGTGGTCGACGTCGGCCAGCATCAAAGTCTCATTGGAGTCAAGAAGTGGCAAAGACAGATGCACAAGAGAGGAAAACACAGTCGCTAATTGGTCTAAAAAAACGAAATGAATTGCTCTAAGTAATCACATTGCCGACGGGGAAGCCCGAGATCTAGACTGTTAGGATCAGTGCATAACGGAAGGGCGTGGAAAGGACAGTCGCTAGAGAGTTTTCCGCCCAGAAAGAAATCTCTAATAATACAACCAGTGCCATTCTAAATTCAAACATCTGTATTGTGGACAGTTGAAATGTGAAGATAGCTTAAGCCCCGCAATAAAGCTCGCGGTAGCACTATATCCCCGTTAGTATATTTGGAACAGGTACATGCGATGCCTGCAGGAGGCGTTAGAGTATTGGACGCTCATCAATGGAGGCTAGGAATAGGACCATGTTGTGTAAATGATCTCTACCACGAGCATGGTAGCGGGTCACGACGAAATTTTGGTACAACTTTAAGAACAAGGTAGCGGATTTCAATGGTCAGAAGACATTAAGGTTGATATTCTGGGATGTTTTCTCACCTTTAGAGCGGAAGGTTGTTACAATGAGTTAAAGAATGCGAGGATAGACATCACACTTGGAGCACGAAATGTAGGTCGTTTAATACCTTTGCAACCAAGACAATGTCAGTCCAAAGCTTGAAGATCGTTACTACGGCGCAAAGCAGTAAAAAGTTTGACCTTCAATATGGCATCGAGTGATGCATGCGGGGAACGTCTCGAGCTGAACAAATTTTTCACCATGCAGATCCGTGCGCAGCGCCAGCGAAAGAGCTAATGCAATACGCGCAATCTACAGACTTTGTGTAACGGGGCTACACATACCTTGGTACAAAAGGGTGAGTCACACAAAGTTGTGTGACCGTGCGAAGGTGTGGATTACACATGACGGTGTAATTACAAGATGGTGTGGCTACACCGTAACAAGAAGCCACTACGTGGCGGCACTGCCATTAGTTATGCATATTCATTATGTTTTAGATATTGGCGGCTCTGCTGCAAATCAAACAAATAAATACAGTTTCAATATTGAACGAAAAAGCGTCTTTTGAGGTTATTAAGTACTCTTGGTGGTAGCGTATTGCGATCCGCTACACTCGTACTGGTTCTGTTATGGAACGTAAGGTCGTTGACCTCAGCCCCCTCACCATCCGT